TGCATTCTGGATCCTATTCAACTCAGTACATAACAGAAACTGCTTTGGGGAGGTTTTTTCACACTCCTGCGGTGTGTAAATGTTACTAATAAATAGTCGTGTTAGCCCCAGGGTTACTGATAGCACAGCAGGACCCCTCCTCTCCCTTCCTTGCACCCACCTTGCCAAATCTGCTCCAAAGAGTTGGCGCAAACCTGGAACAGGTTTAGGGGGTGTGCAGGGGGAGGAGAGGTGGGGAACATTCAGGTGGAGAACACAATAGCACTCCCCAATGCAATGAAGGTACCAGACCCTCCCTGGGTCCATTCTGAAAGTTCTTCAGGCTACCTCTCCTTCTGTTTACCTTAGAAAACTCCAAATTGTAGGTTGTTGGCTTGTTTTGCAGGCCCTGCCCTTTTAAAGGGGGTGTTTGGAAGTGGGGTTGACAATGCAGGCTAATGGCAGCCAGTGACTCACTCACTTTTCATGCCTCTTATCTGTGTGCAAAGTTCACACTTCTTTAATTCATCTTTCAGGTTAGTAGAACTTCTTGACGAAAAGGCATTGCTTATGCAAGATAATTACTCATCTGGGGAGGGCAAAAGGTCAGGAGAACCCCAGGCAGGAAATGCAGTCAGGGGAGGGGAGGGGCAGAAGTTATGGAGAAAGTGCCTGGTGCGAATTTTGCCCAGGCATTCAAATTTCACAGTCAACTTGAAGCCAAAAGTGACAGCGTTTGTGCACCTATCCAAATCAGCCTCAAATGGAAGACAACTGGGCTTGGCTCTTACGGCTCGATATTTCTCCCCAACAACCGCTGCTTCAGGCTGCCAATCGCTTCCTTTCTCTATAGTCCCTTCAAATTAGAACTGTGCCTGCTGTCCCTTCTCCCAGTCCCTTGGACATTCATCTGAAAGTTTGCACAAGAATATAGGAAGCTGCCTTACAGCATGTCAAGACCACTGGTCCAACCAGCTGAGTATCAGCTGGTAGCAGCTCTCCATGGTTTCAAGTCTCTTCTAGACCTACCTGGAGATGCTGTGGGGGGTTGAATTTGGGACATCCTTCTTGCAACGCAGATGCTCTGCCACTGAGCCATGGACCTTAGCTGTGTGTATGTAAGTGGCTTTTTTCACAACCAGGAACTGTGCAAATGAATATGTGTGAGGTTCATTCAGGTCTGTAAAATGTAGCCCTGTGAGGGAAATACAGGTTTCCTAAGAACTCTCCAAGGGACGCAGGTGGCGCTGTGGGTTAAAGCCACAGAGCCTAGGACTTGCCGATCAGAAGGTCGGCGGTTCGAATCCCCGCAACTGGGTGAGCTCCCGTTGCTCGGTCCCCGCTCCTGCCAACCTAGCAGTTCGAAAGCACATCAAAGTGCAAGTAGATAAATAGGTACCACTCCGGCGGGAAGGCAAACGGCATTTCCGTGCGATGCTCTGGTTGGCCAGAAGTGGCTTAGTCATGCTGGCCACATGACCCGGAAGCTGTACACCGGCTCCCTCGGCCAGTAAAGCGAGATGAGCACCGCAACCCCAGAGTCGGCCATGACTGGACCTAATGGTCAGGGGTCCCTTTACCTTTAAGAACTCTCCACCCCCTTAGCAAACTACAGCTCCCAGAATCCTTTGTGGGGGGGGAGCCTTGAGTGTTTAAAGTGGTATCACAGCTCGTATGGTGACCAGAGTCAGATCAACAGTCCATTAGGGTATCCACAGCTTCAGACAGAAAGTCCTTCCCAGTCCTTCCTGGAGACTCTGGGTGTTGAACCTAGGGTACGTTGCATATAATATGGATATTAAATATATCCAATTAAAACCTGGCTGGGAATTTTCCCCGCTCCTCTCCTGCCCCCAAATCTGAACAGTGCCTCTAGATGGACAGCAACTGTCCACACAGGCTACAAATTCTGCCAGCGTAGCACGAGAAAAATGTACCCCAACTTCAGAAACACTAATTTACTCATTTCATAGTGACAGGCGGTCACTAACAGGAAAAACAGTGGCAGGGCTTGAGCAAGCATGCAAAAAAGGAGAGTCCTGCTGTTGACTTTCACACACTGCTCATAACCCCCCAGACACAGGAAACAACAAGTTGAAAGCAGTTTATGCAATCTGCTCACATGATGCTGGCGATAGGTCACCAGAAGCACTCACATCACTTAACGGAGACAGTTGACAAGTCACGGCATGCAGCCTAACCTTTGCCTCGCTGCAGTTAATTTTTAAAGGAAGGGTACTGTGCACCAGCAACACAACAACACAACTGGCTGTTGTTCCAAGGGGAGAGTTCGTAGTTCAGAGACAGAACACCGGCTCCTCACACAGAAGGTCTCCCAGGTTCATTCCCCCAGCATCTTCAGGTAGAAAGACACCTGTCTAAAACTCTGGAGAACTCCTCTCTGTCATTATTGAGCTAGAGGATCCATGACCTGGCTTGGTATGTTCCTAAATGCCAGCCTGTCTTGAATACTTGCTGCAATCTCCCAGTATAACATTCTTGGAATTCATTAACAGACTGTCGCGTCCCCAACAAAAAAACCCTGGTATACCCCATCTTATATTTGTGCATCTGGTTCTTCCTGTCTAAGTGCAGAACCTTACATTTGTTCCCACTGAAACTCTTTTGGTTAGTTTGGGGTTCAATAGGGACAAATATTTATATATTGTATTTCTCTTTTCTTTTTTCTTTTTGCTGTAAGTTGCTTGGAGACTTTTGAGCGACAAGCAACTATTAAATCTAATACAGTGTACCTTGGTTCTCGAACACCTTGTGACTCGAATCTTTTGGCTCCCGAGTGCTGCAAACCCGGAAGTGAATGTTCCAGTTTGCAAACTTTTTTGGGAAGTTGAATGTCTGATGCGGCTTCTGCAGCTTCCGGTTGAGTGCAGGAAGCTCCTGCAGCCAATCAGAAGCCGCCCCTTGGTTTTTAAACATTTTTGGAAGTCGAACGGACTTCTGGAATGGATTCCGTTCAAAAACCAAGGTATGACTATATATGAAAGTGAAGTGAAAGAAATACAGTGGTACCTCGGGTTACATATGCTTCAGGTTACATACGCTTCAGGTGACAGACTCCGCTAACCCAGAAATAGTAACTCGGGTTAAGAACTTTGCTTCAGGATAAGAGCATAAATCATGCACCGGTGGCGCAGCGGCAGCGGGAGGCCCCATTAACTAAAGTGGTGCTTCAGGTTAAGAACAGATTCAGGTTAAGAACGGACCTCCGGAACGAATTAAGTACTTAACCCGAGGTACCACTGTACCCCAGATAGACCTGTCATTCACTAATTTGTCTTAATCCCCATTTAAAGGTGCCTGCCCCGTGGCCATAGCCACATCCGACAACTTTTAGAAACGAGTGGTGCCTTGTGTAATGAAGAGCTTTCTGATACGGCTGGTCAAATTCTGCATTTCTAAACGTTGAGCTGTTTATTATTGTCCCAGCTGCGTGTGACATTGTTTGACTTGGAACTTTTAAAACGTCATTTCAGTACTAGGCAACAACTCTTTTTAAAATTCTTCTCACAGGCCTTTAAAATCTGATCCTACTGCCCCTTGGAATGGAAGCTCAACCTCTCCCCTGCAAAGTCCACAAAAAGCAAAAACACACAAACACACACATGTGTGTGTGTATCCGGCCCCACCCTTATTTTCTTTGTTTCATAAAATTTATATACCAGTATTGCTTGGTTGTATAAAACCTCAAAGTGGTTTGCAAAGGGATAAAACAATGAAACCAAGAAGATGAAAAATTACAACCCTGCATAAAAACATACAAAAGTTAAAATACTGAAACAGATTCAAATTACCTTGACTTCCTAAGCATCTGGGTAGACTTGTCGGAACAAAATGGTTCTTGCAGACACCAAAAAGATTACAGTGCTTGATCTCAAGAGGCAAAGGGTTCTAAAGTGCAGGCGCTGCTACACTAAATGATGGGGTTATTAAAAATGCAGGTATTATGGGGCACCTTTACTATGGCCAGTTCTACTGATCGAATAGGTCAATTGGGCACAATTGGGCAATGGTAAGGCGATCTCATAGGTACACTGGTCCCAAGTTGCTATGGGCTTTATAAACTAATCGTAGCACCTTGAACCTAGGCTTGCCATATGTCCAAGTCCAGTGGCAAAATTACCATGAGGGAAATTTCAAAAAATCAGCAATACGTCCAGGTTTTTGCAAACAGAACCAGGAAGCTCTGTTGAACCTGGTCCAGTAGCAAATCAGCAACCAGTGCAGATCTCTGAGCGCAGATGTCGTATGCCAACAAGGCCCCACTCCTGTCAGCAATCGTGCTGCAGCATTTTGAACTAATTACAGCTTCCAGGTCAAGCGCGAAGGAAACCCTACATAGAGCACGTTGCAGGAATGAGCTTGCTACTGACTCGCCCTGCCCAAGGTAAGCAGTAATGGGGGTTCTTGCTTCTCTGTGCTGAATTGAACTGAAGCAACAGGAGGAAGAGATTGGAAAAAGTCTTGCCCTCGCGAGCATGTGTGGCCAAATGCAAAGGAAGGCTTTAGGCTGGGCTGGGAGGCTGAATCAGATGTCCCCCACCCTATATGGGGGCACTTTGGCAGGTGAGCAGGTCTACTCACCATCAATCACCTGCTGTCAACCATTTATTTTATGATTTATTGCATTTATATGCCCCCTTCTCCTCCAAGAGGCTCAAGGTGGGGTACATGGTCTCCTCCCCATTTCATCCTCACAACAACTTTGTGAGGTAGGTCAGGCTAAGAGATGGTGACTGGCCCAAGGTCACCCAATGAGCTTCATGGCTGGATGGGGATTCGCACTCTGATCTCCCAGCACTCTAACCATTACTCCACATGGGCTCTTAACATCAGGTAAAGTGTGAGAGGTTGGAAGGCATAAAGTTTTGATTACTTGCTGGACCCTTGGAAGAGATTGCCAGGCAGCCCCACCCACCAAGTCTGCTTGGTGGCCCCTGGGCTCACCTTATTTCCAGGACAAAGACTGGAGTGCCACTGAGTTTCAAGTCCTGCATGGAGACATGGTCCAGTTAAAAGGAAGGATCCTGCCAGATGCCAAAGAATTTGTTGTGAAACTGGGCCAAGACCCTGAGAACCTCGTTCTTCACTTCAACCCGCACTTTGACCCCCAGAAGTGTCGGAACACCATTGTGTGCAACTCAAGGAAAATGGGCTGTGGGGGGGAAGAGGAGGAGACACATCTCCAAGTTCTCTTTCGAGCAGGCGGCAGAGTTCAGCTTTCCTTCACATTCCTTCCTTCTGAGATCAAGGTGCTCCTGGATGATGACCACGAGATCTCCTTCCCCAACTGGCTGGGCCTGAGAGTCCTCAAAATACATGGCGGTGGAAGGAGGCTTCAGAATCAGAGCCCTCAGATTCTTGATCTTGATTTCCCATAGTCCTGTAACATGTCCCGAATAAATTCAACTTGTTTTTTTTTTTAAAAAAATCAGGTAAAGTGTTTGTTTATCAAGACCGGCTTGAATTCAATTTTGGCTCCATTCCTGAACTCCAGTCTGGAGGTGGTGATTGGAACAGTTTTACCTCTGAATACCATCTGCTGAGAAGCTGTTGCCTTCCAATGCCTAGCAGCCAACAGAATAGAAAGCAATGCATGTTTATTTCGTTTGCAAATGCGCTCATGGCCTGGGAGGCTGGTCATTTAGGGCAAGGTGAGGCAGAGCCCTGTTAACATCCTTACAGATCAGTTGCTTAAGTGTCTGCAGGGTATCTTTGCAAGGGAGGAGGATGGTGGAGAAAACCAGAACTAGTTGTCCCAGTCTCCAGGGACCTCTTTGGCTGCCTCCCCTGCTCCACCACAGTCCAAAACTTTAACCAACCGCTGCTGCATTGCATCTCCCTTGGTGTCCTCGTGAGCATTGCCTGCCGACAACTTACTTGTGATGAAACCCAGGTAGCAGCAACCCTTGGTTTTACAAAATGCAATAAATTAAAGTCAGCAGAACTAAGGAAACAAGGCCTGCAGCTTAACCAATGCTGCGATCAGAAAAGCTGAACTGTATGATAGACTGCAAGCCAGCAGGAACAACTCTGACGTAATTTGGTGTTTATCAGGACTCGGAGGGGGCAATAAAATAAGCAAAGAGTTTCCTCCAACTGGAATGACCGGCTGGAGGAAATGCAAAGTTTCACAATAGTTGCTTTGTCAGCACCGGAGTCCGGACCAGGCTTTGAGCTTGTATCCTATATCCTTCCCAAGAGAACATTGTATGAGTGTGCATCCTTACGGGCATTTTAATTACAGGTGTTAATGGTTTAATGGGGATTGCTCACTGTGCATTTTTAATGGGGATGTTCATATTTCAGTGCTTGTACCACTGGTTTCATACTTGTGAACCACTTCAAAGCCTATTTTGGAGAGAAATGGTCCTGGGAACTGCGAGAAGTGAGTGTGGTTCTTATGCTCGGTGGGTTTCCCAAGCATCATTGTGAGAACAGGATGCCGGTTAGATTAGGCAGCCGGCTTGATTCAAGTAGGCTTTTCTCGTGTTCTCAACATTGAGCCAGTGTGGTGTAGTGGTTAAGAGCGGTAGTCTCGTAATCTGGGGAACCAGGTTCGCATCTCCGCTCCTCCACATGCAGCTGCTGGGTGACCTTGGGCCAGTCACACTTCTCTGAAGTCTCTCAGCCCCACTCACCTCACAGAGTGTTTGTTGTGGGGGAGGAAGGGAAAGGAGATTGTTAGCCGCTTTGAGACTCCTTAAAGGGAGTGAAAGGCGGATATCAAATCCAAACTCTCTTCTTCTTCCTCTTATAGCATGTCGATCAATATATCTTGAATCTGAGGTGTGTGTCTCTGTGCGTTAAACTTTAGAGCATCATATTTCCATACAAAGAAACCTGCAGCTGCTAACCTCCATAAATGCAAACTCTCATTTAGTAGCCTAGCCAGACGCAAAACAGGGTGAGGGTGGGGGAGCTGCTTCCTTCAGCCCCCACCCAGGCAGGTGTAATATATGATATTACAAGTTTGTAGTAGCCACTAGCCAATAAGAGCCCTCCAGCTATTAAAACAATGCAAAATCCTGTAGAGAAGAGTGTGCTGCATGTCCAGACCGTGTGCTTGCAAACTATGGGTGCTAGATCATGTACTCCCAGAAGGAATCTACATGCAGCTAGTAATTGCATTGTGGGCGTGGGCATCATCTCTAGCACAATTAGCATAATGGTTAATCTAGGCAAAAGTGTGACTCGTGAAACAGGTCCATTCGGGCTATCAGGCTGCAGTTTGAATCTTAAGAGAGATGCAGTTAGCTTCATTGACACAAGTTTCTCCCCACTCCGAGTTAGGATTCATATATTTTCTCTGGTTGTGCCCTATTCTTCTGCTTTGGCATCAGACCACTCAGTCTAAGCCAACTCACTTCCCTTTTGTATCACGGCCTCCATCTAAATGCCGTCTTGCAGGGTAAGTGAGACAGCCATTTCACAATAGCTCTTAGCAAACCAGTGAAATTTCCTGTGAACCAGAAGTCTGCAGTTCTAACTTTGTTACTTGGGTATGGAGAATGTGAGGACCTCGCGTGTTGTTGGATTGCAACTGCCATCATAGGAACACAGGTGCCAGGCCAGTGGTCCACTGAGCTCAGTACTGTTGCAGGCCACCGCAATCTCTGAGCAGTGCAAGATTCCAGGGGTACCAGAAACATACCCAGAGTTCAGTTTCCTTGGAATGAGGCACAGCGGAGACTACAGTGTCTTTATGATCTATGGTTTATTTACACATTTATATAGCCTGAGACTACGATGGAGGTGCTCACAGCATTAACACTCCAGAAGGTATTGCTATTACTGTTGTTAGCCGCTCTGAGCCTGGCTTTGGCTTGGGAGGGCGGGATATAAATAATTTATTATTATTATTATTATTATTATTATTATTATTATTATTATTATTATCCCATAGTCACAGCCTTGGATTCAAGCAGAATCCAGGCATGCCACTCACTCTCTGGCATTTCCTGCTTCTAGCCCAGCTCTCACATATGAGCCACAGAAGCAACAACTAAATATTTTATCATTCAAGCAGCACCCTCTGGCACAAAGCGGTGGCCTCTCGGTCCCCGCCACCCGCACAGGCACGCTTGGTGGTTATGTGGGAGAGGGCCTTCTCTGTGGTGGCTGCTCCCAGACTTTGGAACTCCCTCCCTAGAGAAGCCAGACTGGCTCCCTCCTTGCTGTCCTGTTTTATTCCAACTGGGAACTAATTGTTTTTTAGGGAAAGGGCTGTAATAGTGTTGTGCCATTTCCATCGTCTGCCTTTTAATAGATTTCATAGACCCAAAGGTTCATCCAGTCCAGCCCCCTGCATGCAGGAATCTCAGCTAAAGCATCTATGACAGATAGCCGTCCAGCCTCTGCTTAAAAACCTCCAAGGAGAGTGAGTCCACAACCTTCCAAGGGAGTCCATTCCACTGCCGAACAGCTCTTACTGTTAGAAAGTCCTTCCAGATGTTTAGTTGGGATCTCCTTTCTTGTAACTTTGATCCATTGGTCCAGAGCAGGAGAAAACAAGCTTGCTCTATCTTCCACATGACAGCCCTTGAGATATTTGAAGATGGCTATTGTATTGTTTTAATTCTATTCTAATTACTTTCTAATGATCATTTAGGGATGCTGGTGGCACTGTGGTCTA